TTCATATCATTCTAATTTCTAAATTACTAACTTTTAGAGAATTTTATTTAAACTAAAATAAATTGAACTATTTTAAGATTAAATAATATATAAATAAATATTTATTGTATTCCGCCCTTTTTAACTTCCCACTCTTGGACACGGGCCTTACTTCAATGTAAAGGGGGATCAAGTCATAGGCCACTAGGCTGGTCAACTGTGGTGTGGTGGAATTTACAGGTCTTTCAAAAACTTGTTAGGTTTTTTCAAACATATAAGTTTCCTCACAATGTTTTCCTTCGCCATAAAACGAATGGTAATCATGATAAAATGATTGGCACAGGAAAATATCGGAGATTCAACATCCGGGATTTGAACCCATTTCAGTTTGATTCTCAAGTGAGCGCGTTATCACTGGGCTGCCATTGCTTATAGTACATTTTTATTAAATAGATATTTAATATTAAACTTATTTCTTAAATCATAATAATCATTATTTACATAAATTTGACGTCACATTGCTTTAGCGTTACTGCTCGAGAGATATATCGATTGACTACAGAATAAATCTCTTCGTCCCGTATCTAGATGAAGCCATGAAGTTCAAAGCGGGCATCAATTCAGATAAACATTAAATGGATTAGATTTGTAAGATTGTATTGAACTACGTGGTACAATCTTCGAAGTAAACAATAGTAAAACTGTACCGTAACCAATTTATTTTAAATTGAGGGTCATAATATTAGTAAATATTTTCCAAAAATATGATATCTAAGGTAATCTAAGTAATTAATATTGAATACTAATTCTAAACATTGCTCTAATGAGTCGAAACAGTTTCATAGCCCCGAATGTAACATTAAAATTTATTGTGCGCAAAAAATGCTTTTAGTAAACATATTTTTTAGCTAAAGCTACAAAACATTTTCATATTCCAGCTGAAAATTGTTACTTTTTCCCGGCGTAAGCTTGGCGTCTGGCATAGGGCGTGTACACGTGCGCTCATCAACTAATGGTCCGTGCGCGGCATTTGAACCGAGCCTACACTCGGCACAAAACAACCGCCCGCCTGCCTGCCTCTACTCCTAGGCCTGCTTTCGGCGCAAAATTATAACGTGTAAAACACGGCCTCTCCTTGCATTCCGCGCACGGGATTTTTATGAATGGTGCGATTATTATTCGCATTTTAAACTCGAATGCGGCGCTATTCTCCCCGAGACGTATATAGCAATATTCGTAACGAGTTTTCTCAGCAATGCTACCTAATTTCAGGTCGAGGGCGGTACATATGGATGTATCGCTATGCGGTAAAGTACCGGCAAAGTCCTCTCTGCCGAAAGCCGAATATCGCCAGGACTAGGTACGAATCGAACGCGATTGCAAATTTATTAGCGGACAATCGTCGCCGGTCCGCGAGTGCACGTACGCGCAGTTGTTTTTGCTCTTCGTATATTTTTTTCTCGACGAGACTCAGCTCTCCCCTTTTGTTCTCAAGTGGACCAGCTGTCATTATACGCTATGTTACTGTTATTTTTTTCGACGTTTTTATAGAGTTTTGCGTTGAGAGGGCGTTCCGTTCAGAAAAATGTTCGTTTTGCGTGCGTCCTGGAGAGTTTGCGTGGTCGCGGCGTTTGACGTCGATTCAAATGTTATGTAATTTTATTTATTTCAAAGTCTAGTTATTGTATTATTGTTCAAGTAGCTTTCTGTTGGATACTGCAAATATGGTCTGAGCTAATATGCAAAGTTAAACAATGTTTCTATTATAAATTATGCGGATATGTAGAGCGGTCGGTCGACTAGTCGTCGAACCCTGTAATAACTCGACCGAAATGTAACATGTGTCATTGCAGTTTTCAAGTGGCTTCTGTTTGATAATTTAAGCGAACCCTTTCAACTGCGGGACCCTCGAGAGTGTAATCAATGAAAGATATAGTTTGCCTTGATTTGTATGCGAAGCATTTGTACTAGTCCCTGAGTGGTATAGCCCGGTAAACTTTCAAATGGAGTCATTATTAAACATGTATGTACATACATAGATCGTTAACTTAATTTATTTTATTACCTACAAGCGACTCACCCTCGTTTCGCTCGGGTTCGTCCCTAGGTACGATTTAATTTTTTGAGCGGAACCTTAATTCTTTTTCTAAAATAAAAATAGCCTATGTTACTCTCTATAACGTCAGCTATCTTCCAGTGAAAGTCACGTCAAAATCAGTCCAGCTGTTTCAGAGATTATCCGGAACAAACAGACAGACAGACAGATAGACAGACAAAATTATTAGAAAAATATGTTTTTCTTGTAAGTACCGTATAATTTCATATGCATTAAGTAAAACGCTGTTATTTCAACATTACAAACAGACACTTCAGTTTTATCGTATATATTTATCTGTATAAATGAATATTAACAGGCATCATGGACATTAAAAAAATACTTCTTTAGTTTTTTTTTCTAATTTATCATATATTATTTTTTTTTCTAATATATAATACATATACTCGTCAAACGAAACTAAATTGTATATTCGAAGAACAATGTGATATAAGAATTTACCGTTTATATTGAACAATCGTCTCAAGATCGTTGTTATAAGAAATATGTTTTTGCTATTATTGGCAGATAAATCTCTCTGAGAGGCCTTATAGGAGATCTCAGCATTCAACTTGCAATATTGCTACGAATACTAGGCGGCTTATTACAATGAAGCTTGAAAGTACAAGGGTATACTTGTGCATTATAACCTTTATATTTAATGCAAAAGAATCAATTGTTAACGAGTGCTTTACTCTATTGTAGTTCAATACTAACAATATCATTCGCTTGTTTGTGTATGCATTTTAATTGGAGTTAATTTTTTATAGACCATAGTTGTCATAGCAAAAAGCTTTAAAAATGTGAAGCGTTTATGATTTATCCACTTTATTTCTAAAATTACCCATACATCGTATTAATTAATATGTACATTTCCATGATCTTCAAACTTTTAGTTAAAAGTCCTTAATAGTTGTATTATCAAATTCTAACTAGAATTGATATATTATTATATGGATACTTTGTAAATGTTATTCAATATTTAACAGTAATGAAGAAAAATGTATTGTTAAATATTTACAATACCGTAATATAAATATACTAGCGGACCCGACAGACGTTGTCCTGTCTACACGTCTTTAATTTGAAAATTTCAAACTTTTTTTAATAATTTTTTTGATGAAAATTATTATTCAAATTGTGAATCTAAACCATTCCCAGATCCCCTTGAACACACACGAAAAATTTCATCAAAATCGGTCCAGTCGTTTGAGAGAAGTTCAGTGACATACACACTCACAGAAGAATTATATATATAAAGATTTTTACAATGTTAAGAATACTAATACACCTAATCTAAAAGAAAATCGAGTTATGATCATATTCAATTTTTGTCTTGATATTATGTTAAAAGGTAACATGTATTTACCTATATTTAAAAAACTTTTTTTTTATTGAATCTTTTGAGTTAAAAACCTAAAAAAAAAATTTAAAACCGACAAAAAACACTAAGTTGGTGTGCTATGTGCATCGGCTGGCACCGACTTCGAAAATATTTGATTAGGTATCTATAGTAAATGAAAACTATTATTTTTTACTTTTTAGTTTTTTTTAAGTCGGTCTTTAGTTTATTTTTTTTAAGTTTCTATTCTTCCCTCTTTAGTATATACTATACTTTAATGCCAATTTCTATATGCAGACTGACTAACAAAAATTCGCTTTTATTAGTAAAACAAAATTCTGGCTCTAAAATCAAATTCTTATGTATTGGGATTGTCTGATCAAACAAAATAAGCGCAAACTCAAAGTATCTACTATTAGTCGTTGAAGGGTTCCATCTATCCACCTTCTGGCCACACCATTAGATAAGTTCGACGATACCGAACCACTGCACTATCAACGGAAATAGAAATACAAATTTTTAAGTCAATACGACAATTAGAAGAAGGTTTTTTTTTCAAATTTAAATGGAACAAAATTGGAAGTATACACTTCCAAACAAAACAAAAATTGTCCAAATCGGTTAATAAATGACGGAGTTCTGAGGTAAGAAACATAAAAAAAACATACAGCCGAATTGAGAACCTCCTCCTTTTTGAGGAAGTCGGTTGAAAAAGGAGTTATAAGGTAAAATGAATTTCCACAACTGAAACTCAACCCAAAAATAATATTTAAGACTAATCAAAGCCTTAAATGAAATCTTATAACTGTGTCATTGATATATTATTTGGTAGGTATACACACATTTCTACCTGCTAAATAAGAAAAAAATATTATTAACGCTTTTGTTAAAACCGTTATGTCTTAACAGTGTCATTATTTATAAGTGTTAGGTATATTATTGGAGATGTTGCCTCGAAGTCGTGGAATATTCCCGTGCATACGGATGACATGTGACTCACGTTTTTCACGCGCGGCAAACAACTAATTTATGTTAATTGTCCCATCGAGAACGCATAAGTATGTACGGCACGTATCTACTTAAGTTTGCTCTCGACATGGCCTGATCGAGATGGACAATGTGTGGAAAATATTAAGTGTCTCGTACTTCCTTATAGGTCCAACGCTGTAAGCAGTCGAGTTATTTCAATTCCGAGAAACTTCGTTTCTGCCGCTGGTCAACTGAAAGTTGTTACTTTATTTTGTTCTAAATGATATTTATATTTTTGTATAAGGACAAAAGTTTACAATAAATGAAATATTTTGAAACTAAATATAATTTAAACTTAATATACTTATTAATTAAACGACTCTAATGTACCTAACCAACAAAATAAAGACATTGCATTAAAGTACAAACATACCTTCAAAAGTCAATTCATTAGTAATGTGTCAAATATTCAAATTGTGAATTAATCAAAACAAATAATTCTTAGGTTGTCACGCTACGTCACTCAGCGTCACGCGACGGACGCGGACGTGACGCAATACGCTATCACGCGCCGCTCGTATTAGGGCTACGATTTTCCACATCTCAGACAGTGTAATGTCAGTAATACAATGGAACATTCTCGTCGAATGGGAGCCTCTTATCGATCTACTGGGACGTCATCGAGCGATAGCAGCCGCGGCGACGCAAAAAGCGTGTCAGTGTGCCGGCTACAAAGCCTTTGTGGCGAGACCGGACGCCGCTCGCCGCCACCACTTTTGTTTGCTGCTTAGTGTTCGTGCCTCTGAAAGTGGTGATTTTAGTGTCCGTAAAGTTGTTAGCTTAGCGCTACGCTTAGGTGCCCTATTAGTTGGAACGGTACCGCTGTGTCCCATGTTACAGTTACCTACAGTATAAAAGAGTCACTTGGTCTTACATTTCTAAATCTTTGCTCTTTAACTTATGCATAAATATAATTGAAAATACTTTTGTAAATAAGGTCTTTATTTCCTACTTACAACAAACGTAATACATACATATATCATTAGTATTTTATCTAATACTGAGATATAGCTCCGTTTCACAAGTTAATGTCCGTTAACTTATATAATAACTTCCCTTAAAGTTACACAAATAAATTAGTGTTTATTAGAAATGGCTATTTTTATATTAAATAAATGGCTTAAAATGATACGTGGCCAAAGTATTTGAAGGGTAAAGTCGAGGGTGAACTTGCTCGAGGCGACGAAACTTCAAGATGTTTTCACTCAAAATAATAAGTTCCAAGTCAATTTTTTACGAAACTCGGTGTAATGGATTGTTGGGAACTTCGATAACTTTCGGAAGTTGCTCTTCGATTTATTTTGCAAAGGAATTTTTTAGCCAATTTCTCTCAAATCGAAGACGAAGTTAGAAATCATCCAGTCACCCTTCACTGGTTTGCGTCACGACGTTTTTATACGAACAATTTACTTGTGAATTATAATAATATGATTTTGAAATTTCATATAGGTATTAGGTTTTAATATCTTTCTTCATTTATCTATCATATTTTTTTGTTATTGCAGAAATTTTAGTGCAGCATCGACAGTAAATACTTTAAAAAATACAATCGCAAAATTTTACCTTTTATAAAATTATGTACCTACTTTATATTTCAACTGTTTTTAAATCTAAACTTCATTTATTATATAAATAAAATAATAAATAAGTACTAATATTAATAAATAATTAAACCGCAATTAAAGTAGAATTACCCTTTATTTACATATATTAAGAGTTGTCAAGACCACACGCATAATCAAATTATGCCAAAATCAGTTTATTACTGAGTCGGTAACCCCAACAATTTCTGTTGGTGGCACGTTGATGGCGCGTAAAACAAACACTAACACTCCATCCGTCAGGCAGCGCAGGGGTGCGAAAGTTAATAAAATTCATGTATCGGAAACTTATAGCTGTGAAATATTGTTTGTGATGGGGTACAACCCTAGCTTCCTTATAAAATTACTCAAAGATTCCTTAGTGTCATAAAATCAGCGCTAAATAAACACTTCGCCGTTCTCGTCTTACTCTAAGTACTAATTCGCCGTCTTTCATTATCATACTTTTACATCGGAGTTAGCCTCCTTCGTCTTCTATTTTCATAAAATAAGATGCCTTTCTTATTTAAAGCATCTTTGAAAATGAAAAAAATCTCTCTATGAAAGTTTTTACATTGGGTCTTTCAATATTCGTTCTTCCTGCGTATGCATTATAATTTGCAGTCAAAAACGAAGCCTTTATAATAAATTACAATTAAACTCGTGTTATTTTTTAATATCTTTGTTTTTATGAACAACACAATCGAAAATTTCAGCAAGACGGAAACGGTGACCAAAGATTAACCGTGAGTCAGACTGGGCGGCACCGGTGGCATCAGCATTAAAATAAAAATAAGGATCGCCATAAATACCGCACACAAAGACAAGATATACGGTTATAGCGCTGGACCGTTCGTGCACGCCCGCTACCATTCTAGACATATTAAAAACAATTACTTTCTTACATAGTATTAATTTTATATGACAAATGGAAAACTTATGTCAGAAATTATATTTTATCGTTTATTCTTACTTTTTCATTTATTCTGCTTTACTGTTTCATACTATATACTTGAATTGAAGCAGCTGTTGACCCTTGATTGGACCTTTATGTAGAATTTTGTCATCTACAGACATTGCTTATATTTTACCTTAATATTGGGTACTCTATTAATTCTCAGTGACTTATGTTCATGAAAATATTAAATATAAGATGACTGTCGTGAGAGTATTTTATGCAAAATCCATCATAGCTATAATTTATTACGTGTCATTACACGTAAACCGTGGAAGAAAATGTTTTCGAAGCCAACCTGATGTTGGTTTGGAAATAACAAATAATGTCACAGAAAAGCCAAGTTTCTACCCTATCGGTCATCGTACGGTGCTCCCCTAAAGGTCGATCTGGCGCCGGGAGGGCACTGAAATAAATAAGAAAGGCTTCAATCGCCGTCAACCCAGCTCCACCCTTTTATAAGCAGGTGATAGATGAATGTTCCTTATATGGCCTTGCAAATCTGGACGCTGCTAGCGCTATTAAAATATCATTTGAGTGCAAAATTTTCTTTATGTTATTCCTTAAAATTCTTGAGAAAATTTCAAGTAAACCCCTATGTTCTATGTATTAAAAAAAAAACTACGTTATACGTACATTTATGAAATAGTTCACATCTACACGTTGTTCTTACAATTTAAGACATTGCAACTACGTACAGGTAGGTATTTTTTAATGTTTGAATTCAAAAGTGTGATATCAAAAATGTGTCTTTCAGAAACCTTTCTCTTTCTCGACTTAGGTATGTTATTTTAAAAACAAACGTTATTTTAATAACATACCAAATGAAATTTTTCAATTTTATAACACTTTGTCGTATACGCTCGAGTACCTTTTAACCCTTCAGCGGCAGCGGGATAAATGGGCAAGTCGTGTCGCCAAAGTACAAGCTTCCGGACCACTATATGGGGGCAATGCGATTCAGTTTATAAAAAAACTACTGCTACGTTTATTTTTCTTTTCAATCTAATTTTTGAGTGTACGTGAAATTGTTCTGTATTTATATATTTCGCTGTTTTCTATATAACAAAAAATAATAAATTTTAGTACTAAGGTAATTAAAGCAATGAAGTAATGAAATATGTGTTTATGGAAACATATATACATATATCTAAGCAATTAGCGTAGTCTAAGGGATGACAAGTAGTTTTGAAAGAATTCACTTCATTGGTCCGCCAACCTACATTTGATGTCATCGTGGTGGACTATTATCCTTATCCTCCATACATCGAGGAGAGGTCTGTGCCCAACAGTGGGACAGTAAATAGGCTAAATTAATATTAAAGGAATTATTATATATGTATATTGAATTACAATTATATCTATAAACAAAATAGAAATTTATTATTAAAAAATATTATTATTCTTTCATATTTATATACTAAAAGCTTACAGTAAGGAATAAACGGAGTGTCACAGAACTAATCGTGAAGCCAAATATTTTAAAATAATAACTTAGTGTTTTTAACAGTTTACCTACAAATATTAATAAAGGAATTAAGGTGATATATAATAAGCTAATGTTATGCTATCTTTCTTTCAAGAGAATGAAAACTAAAAGCTTGAGAACTAAGAGCTTAAAAATACAAAAGAATTTAGTATTATTAAATTCTTCCATTACCCTATAAAGAAAGTGTATAATCTGTATGGCGAAATGGAAAGGTAAATCACGCTAGTATTTTTGAGTTGATCTTTTTTGGCGGGCTTTGTCATAATTTTTTAGTCTATGGTTAAAAGTTACTTTACGTTTTAAGTAAACACTAATCATAAGACATTTAATCCGAATACTCCGTTAATACTTCTGGGGATGTTTAACAATACCTAGCTAATGAATTGATCGCGTGTAGGGCGATGGTGCATTCGGATGCATTAGTAGCGTTTCCGGGGTCACCCTACCGATACTTTCACCTCTTTAGTTACGCAAAAAACAAAATTTTATAGTCTTTTTTGATGTGTTCTATAATAATTGTTATTTTATTTATTAATAATTGTTATTTTAATAAAATATTATGATTAGTTTTGAAATCAGCTAAAATGAACGTCAGGACCCCTCCTGACGATAGCCAGATGATTGAGCATAGATAGATGAGATAGCACGTTGCCGTATTTAGAAATTCTATATAGAGTACGTATTATTTCATATTTGCGTCTTATATAAAAACTAGCATTGCCCGCGGCTCCGGCCGCGTTCAGATGACCAAAAACCAAATTCTTAGGTTTTACATATTAGTATACTCTTACATTGCAGTTTTTGTATTTTTTCTCAGAAATGAGATGTTTTCCCGCGGTAAAAAGTATCCTATATGTTGACCCGGATAATCAGCTATCAGTATACCAAATTTCATCAAAATCAGACAGACAAAAATTCTAAAAACGATAGATTCCACCTCTGTATCGATAATAATGTTTATTTCAATATGATTTTCCAAAAAATATTTAATGTACATATTTGGCTTAGTTACAATTTTATTATATGTATAGATGTCACCATATTTGAAGCTTATTTTCGCAACGTCATATTATATCATATTTATATATAATAACCTTTTATCTTCCTAGAGAGATCTTCTTCATATTAGTGAAAACCTACAATAGTTTCTGAGATTAGCCCGAACAAATACAAGCTCAGCACGGCGGGGAACTTCAATATATGACATGTAGTAATGTGTACGATTTAATGTAATATTTAACTTAATGTAATGTTTTCAAATTAATCAACGTTTATTTGATCGTTATAATATTTATTTCAATTTACGAGGGTTGTTTACTTACTTAAGATTAATCATGAAGCTAAGTTAAGGGACATATAATGTACATATAACTTGAACAATAGCGTATACATATTCCTAATGTAAACTTTGCGTAACAATTTGTCATTAAGCCCAAAAATGTTTCTAAAATTCCCGAGACGCGTAGACCTTGCGATAGAAGGGTAGTGTTTCCTGTTCCTGCAGGGAGGCGGAGGGGGAAGCGGTCCTCTTTGTGTTGCGATAACCGGAACTGAGGGCTCTGAGGACGGAGGGTAATGTCAACTGTAAGGTATTTTTAAGTTTCTTCTCAGCGTTGATTACTTTTTGTAATGCGTTATAAGGATTTTAATGTTCATTAGTAAAACTTTTTCTTTCAAGTGACAATGTCTATGGAGATGAGTTTGGTCTTTACTTAAATTGTTCTAAGAATATTGAGTGTAATATATTAACTTATCTTGTCATATATTTGTAATGTACAGACAGAACATGGTAACCCTTAGTTCTCATCTCTACATCGTTGCTCTAAGG